ACTGTTATTAAATCACTTGACAAGTTCATTGAGAGCAAGCGTGTTTTCTTATCCGAAGTTAAGGATGATAATCTCATCGATTGCCTTGTTCGAAAGTTGAATATAGTTTGCTTTCCTCCCAATGAGAATATCAAGTCTATAGAAAGGATTCCACTTGAGTGCGACTTTTATTGTGATATGATGTATCATGTACCTTATTCAACATTTATAAGCTTTCCACATGCTGAAGCTGTCAGAGAATTGGATTCGATTATGTCCAGTGAAAGTAGCACCGCAGAAATAAAATAACATGTATACGAAAACAGCCTCCTTGATTTGTATTCTGGCTGTGGTGCGATGTCCACTGCTTTATGTCTTGGAGCTGCGAACTATGGTGTTAAGCTTGTAACAAAATGGGCAGTGGATTTCAATAGAGAAGCATGTGATAGCTTGAGATGGAATCATCCAGAGACGCAGGTCTGAAATGAAGCTGCTCAGAATTTTTTGTGCCTTTTCAAGGAATGGGAACACCTTTGTGTCTCTTGCTCTCTGATAACAAACAACTCAGCACCACATCCTTGCTTGAATATTTGTAATGAAGAAGAAGAAGAAGAAAGGACTACAAGTGATACAGACAATGAAGTATATGAAGTTGAACAAGTATTAGAAAATTGCTTTGGGGATCCAAAGAAAACTGGAAAGTCTGGATTGCACTTCAAGATACATTGGAAAGGTTATGGAGAAGCTGATGACACATGGGAACCCATTGAGGGTCTGAGTGGTTGTGAGCAGAAAATGAAGGAGTTCATTGAGAATGGGTTTAAAGCAAGTATACTGCCTTTGCCAGGGAGTGTTGATGTCGTATGTGGTGGCCCACCTTGCCAAGGAATAAGCGGCTTCAATCGTTTTAGGAATAGTGAAAATCCATTAGAGGATCCCAAGAACAAACAACTAAAAGCAGCATGTAGATACAAGAATGGCTAAACGCCATTTCTCGATGGTAAAAGTGGATGGAGAGCTTTATAATCTTCATGATGATGCTTATGTTAATGGTAAGGAAGGTAAAGACAATAATATTTTTAAAATCGTTGAGATGTTTGAAGATTTAGATGGAATGCGTTATTTCACGACTCAATGGTTCTACCGAGCTAAGGACACTGTGGTGCGATGTCCACTGGTTTATGTATTCTGGCTGTGGTGCGATGTCCACTGGTTTATGTCTTGGAGCTGCGAACTATGGTGTTAAGCTTGTAACAAAATGGGCAGTGGATTTCAATAGAGAAGCTTGTGATAGCTTGAGATGGAATCATCCAGAGACGCAGGTCCGAAATGAAGCTGCTCAGGATTTTTTGTGCCTTTTCAAGGAATGGGAACACCTTTGTGTCTCTTGCTCTGTGATAACAAACAACTCAGCACCACATCCTTGCTTGAATATTTGTAATGAAGAAGAAGAAGAAGAAGGGACTACAAGTGATACAGACAATG